ACCTCTAAAAGGTATTTTAAAACCACATTTTAACATTCTAATTAAAAAGAATCTAAATTGAAAACAAACAGTTTCCTAAAGTAGAGCAATTGGGACTAATCACAGCTCCCAAAGGAAAGTGCTCTACTCTTTGGCAACAACAAAAACGAAGCCCTTTCTCACGTGTCCAATAAATGGTCCATCATCCTATGTGTGGCATCTTCAAAAGGTTTTGTCTCTAATCTTAATAATCAGGTAGCTGTAATAAGACTGTGATCTCTGAGGAAGCCAGATTCCAGGTAATTTAGATCTTACTCCATAGCTGAATTAGGTCCAAATAATAATTAGCATTACAATGTTAGTTAGCAATCTTATTTATCTTGCTTTATTTATTTATTTCATCTATTTATATAGCAAAATATATTTAAATTTTGCACCAATTGAAGCTTCTAATTCTTATATCTATACATCATTTCAACAAGATGTTTGAGAGATTAGATAAATTTAAGAAATGTCTTAAATGATGTTCAACTGTGTGAGAATAGTTTTTGTGACAGCCACACCTGAAATTCTGGGGCAGTGTAGGAGAAATAGTTCCCAGTATGCAGGCATGAGACTTGAGTGAGGTTTCTGCCTATCTATGAAATTCCTGTCTGGGTTAATTGTCAGTTCAGTTTCTCTTATCTCGTCCAGTTTTTAATCCAAGGCACCATTGATGAGTAATTCATGGATGTATTGTGAAATTTCACTTTTTTTTAAAAAAAATGGTACCTATGCTTTCATCTACTAGTGTTTAATGATTAGAATGATTGCTATTTCTTGAAGTAAGGGAGGCTTGGAGAAGAGAAAACTAGTAATGTTTGATTTTTTGCTATCTGAGTGATAAAGAAAATTTCATTGTGATAGGTTTCTTATTGGCAAGGAACATTTTGGGATGAGTAAGATCCTGATGACTATTACTACCATTACCACTACCACCACCTTCTTCTAACTAAAAATATTATATGTCTGTTTAAAGCTTAACTATCCCTCCTTCATTCTGTTAATCTAAAAATAAATGGATACAGAAGTAAAAAGGAAATAAATTTTTCCCAAGAACAGAAAAGGAGCTGTCACTTGTTGGAGTGGACTTCTAGCCAGTTCTGAACTAAATCGTTCAATGATTTAATTCACCAGAACAAGAATAGCAGACTGGTTAAAATATAGAAAATATTTGACATGATTGAAGGTGGAGAGATGAATAGACTCATATGTTTGTAAAAGATTTGCACTGCCTTGCGTGGGAAGGTATACAAACTTTTAAGTAATACAGAAGGAGAAAATCCAGGTGAAAGAGGGAGTGGTTTCAATAGTACTGACTAGTTATTTTGACTTCTATTAAAGAATCAGATGCTGAAGGCAACCACTTTGAAAGGACAGCAAGGAAGAAGTCCAGGAATAGAGTGGCAAGGATACACAAACATTTCTTCTTGATGAAAATACTGTAGTTTTCTCCTCTTTGCAGTCAATTAGTTACAACTGAAGTTGTGAAGAGCACTTGCAATTTAACTAGCATTATTAGAGAATTTTAGTCTGCATTTGAAAATGATTTGAGCTAATTTATGCTTCATTAACTTCATTAACTTTTGCACTCTAACTCAAAACTATGAGGAAAAGAGAATGAAAGGAGTGTCATATGAGTAATAGCATGATTGGCACACTGTTTAGGAGAGAACATGAAATAGTTTCCTTGTGTATCTTCTATGATTCAGAATGAAGATCCCTCAAATATTAAATGGCTCCTCTGTGGAGATGTTCACTTAGATCATGTATTTTCCAATTTCCTTTTCTCCATTATCCATTTATCTTGTTGGGGAGCTAATGTTCAGTGTAGTTAGAGGACCAAATAAGCAAATTTGGCTGATTAATGTTTGTTTTTGTTACCATATATAATTGTTGAAAGTTCTAATCAAAATACTGATAATTTTTGAACCATTTTCTAAATCTTTATTGAATTTTACACTTCAGTGAGGTCTTTTACAGCTAGGTACCAAAAATGCTGTGTAGAATTCTAGTAGAATAGAAACATCCTATACTTTTTAGAAACAAGATGTGTACAGAGGGATAGGTAAGTGTTTTTTTTTTTACTTAAATCAAGAAGCTGAAATACTGAGAATTAGAAAAGGATGTTCAAACTGAGTAATTTGTTATCTTAAATGTCTGTCTATGCATATTTCTGTGTATTTATATTTCTCTTGGACAAATTACTGATCTTGACAATGAAAAATAGCATACTTTTTCAGAGCTTTCTGAGAGAAATTGATTATATACTTATAGATGCTAGTTCTGTGGCTGGCAAAGGTTAACTACTTACCTGGGGGGGGGGGAAGGAGGGAGGAAAACAAGAATTAATCTGTGAACATCTTTGGCTTAATTCATGCATATTATTATATATGAATTTATTTATAACATTTATGTGCCAGACACTCCTGACAAAGTCAATTAGGATGAATTAAGATGAATATTCAGCTGTGCTGAATCGAATTACTGGCAGTCAGCAGAATTAGCCTGCAATACTGCATTCTAACCATTGTGCCAGAATGCAGTATTGCAAGCTAATTCTGCTGACTGCTAGCAATTCGATTCTGACCAGTTCAAGTCTTCCATCCTTCCTGAGGTCAGTAAAATGAGGACCCATATTGTTGGGGATAATATGCTGACTCTGTAAACCGCTTAGAAAGGAGCGTAAAGCATTATGAAGCAGTATACAAGTCTAAGTGCTATTGCTATTTTATTTTCTAGCATTTAAAGAAACTTTTATTTCTCCAAATTTCAGCCATTTTATAAGGTTATCCTGTTAAGGAAATATATTGGATTTCTCCATCTTTCCTCATTGAATATTATAAACCTTAATTATTTTTTTAATTGCCTTTTTTTAAAAAAAAGCAAACAAACACCTTTCTTCTTTCCCTTTTAAGAAACTGCAAGGGAGAGAAGGTTATGCTGACAGAAGAACTTTCTTCCAGCCAAACAAATTCAATATAGAAATGTTTTCTTGGTGGTGGTGGTGGGACTCAAGTCCCAATTTGAGATCCAGCCAGTTCTAGATCTTGAACTGAATTTAACTTTTAACTGTTGCCAACCTTCTTGGCAGAAAGTGATAACACAAAAATCTTCAGGGTCAGATTGATTGCATCTAGATTACTGAAGCTGGCCAAACCATGACTTTGAGGACTGCTGAAATGCCAGACCATTAATGGAAAGCAAATCTTTTCCTTATATTGGGAAAGAAAAAGAAGAATCTGGATAAAAATCTACTAATCTAACACTGATGCTTGAGAAAATTCTAGAGAAGAACATAAAGAGATTGATCTTTAAACTCCTTAAAATGATGTAATATAGCCAGTAGTTAAGGCATTAGGCCAGAAACTGAGTAATAGTAATAGTCCCACCTGGGAAGAAAAATAGCTTGCTGAGCTTGGGCCAGTCACTTTCTCTTGCTCCTAGGAAAAAGGCAATGCCAAATTACTTCTGGAAAAAAAAAACCTTGTCAAGAAAACTGCAGAGACTTATCTAAGCAGCCTCTAGAATCAGACACGATTGAACAGAAGGAAAAAGACATCATAACTCTCATGTTCTGACTAGCCAGCCTTTTTAGTGGATGTGGGGATAATACAGCTTGATTTTAGAAAAGCATATTACAAAGTATTCCATGATATTGTTTTGTGAGTAAGCCATGTAAGTATGAACTGGAGAATCTGGCAATTAAGTGGATGCCTAGCTGACTTGAATCTTCATCAGATTAAAGGGAGGTATTCAATCAATTAATTAAATTTATATGCCGCCCATCTCACTAATAATGTGCCTTTCACATTGACTGGGTGTCGCTGGGTGATATTGGACCTGGACTTTCTGCTCCACCATTTTCATTAATGACTGGGATAAACAGATAAAGATGTGTAAAATATGATAAAGGTAAAACATTGTGCATTCAAAATGTCATGCTGCAAATTTGAAACTGTTTGCTCTGACTTGGATTGAAGTGTTTTGAGCCTGAACTCCTGGGGGCCATAGTGAACAGGGGTATTAAGCAAGGGAGAGACCTAGGATTTTCCAGATGATAAACTTCTGATTTGGAGAAGGAGAAGAATTGTTTTCTCCCCAAATATGTTAATTCTATTTTATATTAGATTACTCTATTGAAATAGCAAGGAACTGTATCGCTAATTTTCAGCAGCTGTGGTCAGACGTGATTCTAGGGAAGGGAGTTAAATAAAAAGATTTTAAGCATCATAAAGCTCACCTGGGACTGAGCTCTGTTGTAGGAACTGAAAAAGGCAGGCAGAAGTTGTGGTATGAAGGCCAGTAACCTGGAAGGTTGATTGGGATTATTTCCCTTCTCTAACCTGTAGATGCAGAGGCTATTTGTTTTACAGACATCTTAGCAGGTGTCACAACTAATAAAGGTAAAAATATCCCTGTCAGTTGTGTCTGACTTAGGGCTCGGTGCTCATTGCTGTTTCTCAGTCAAGAGAGCCAGCGTTGTCTAAAGACAATTTCCATGGTCGTGTGGCCAGTATGGCTATATGCCAAAGGTGCATGGAATGCTATTACCTTCCCACCGAAGTGGTACTTTTTAATCTACTTGCATTTGCATACTTTCAAACTGCCAGGTGAGCAGGAGCTAGGGCAAATAACAGGAGGAGCTCACCCGTTATGCGGCAGTTGAGTCTTGAATCTTGGCTGTCAGCTTTCCAGCTGACAAGCTCAGCGTCTTTAACTGCTGAGCAATTTTGCCTCATCACAATTAATACAGAAGTCTAAAAAGTGCAAAATCCAATATTCCCATTTATCTTCAGTCAACCTCATATTGAATACAATTATTGCACAGCAATTGCATACTTGTTACTGGGCCAGCGGTTTGAGCCGGAATCTCCATTTCTTGAAACAATTGTTGCAGATTCTCAAACACACACACACACATACACACACACACACACACACACACACACATCCACAGTTATGTGTTTTCTGTGCTGCAGAGGAGTGCTTCAGGAGAACTGATGGTGCCGCGATGCAGAAGAGATGTGTGGCCTTCATTCCTCAAGTCCGTTTAGAAAGATGCCAGTTACTGTATCTGTAGAAGAGAAGAAGATCACTGAATCCAACTCTCCAAAGGCAAGTGAGATGAATAAAGAGCAAGTGCAATCCTGATTTCCTGAATTATTGCTGCTTTTCTTTGGTCATGAGCTCAGGTGAGATGTCAGATATCTTCTCCTGGCTTGGAAAACCACCTTATCCCAGGAGAGACACTGTTTTCTTTCTTCGTGTCATATTACTTCTTAGAGCTTGAGAAAGAGGGAAAAGATTGGGTGAGAAGGGCTTGGTTTTGAAGATGAGGAATAAATAAAGTAACAGCAACAACAAAGATGTGAATAACTTATTTTGATAGCCTTTCTTCTCTTCCCATAGGCTGCACTTTTAGTTGTTTCGGGCTTGTTTGCTGAAAAACAAGAGTTTCTCTGCTATTAAAAGAATACCCCTCTCTGCACTGCAGCACTATTGCTGTTGTTTGATCATGCAATGCTGAGCAAACTTACTGCTCAGAGCACATGGACTTGCCTTCAGGAATAACTTGCCACTTTAATTGAATTCTTTACTCCTGCACACACAGACACAATATGCCAGAAGCTTGCCTGTATTCAGACAGGATTTGAAGTGCCAAGGGAAAGCTGTGGCAGCCAGGGATAACAAGCCAAGTTCTTTTGTTGGTCCAATTTGGTGGTCCGTCTGATTTAGAAAGTTTGCATTATCACACAGAACAATGTTCTTGGTCTGTCTTTTGCCTTGTTGCCTTTCATTGGCCATAATCTATTGATGGTGTCTTATAGAAACCTACAAGTATTCTGATGTAATCAGGGCTTTTTTAAGAGCTAGGAACAGAAGGTTTATTTCAATGCCAATCTAATCTCCCCCCCCCCCCTAAGAAAAATGCTTAGGAATTATATTTTAACTTGATGATTTTATTGATTTGAAAACATCATTCATTTGAGTATTTCAAAAATGGATCAGATTTTGGATACCCCCCACCACATGTTAGGAGCTCTGGCAATTTCGTCTTCTTAAAAACATGGCAGGATGTAGGTGCAAAAAATAATGTAGAGTTCTTTGGAGAGGTAATTATTGTGAGAAATTTATTTTTAATGTGAATTTTCAATCTCTGACAGCTCCATATGTTTATTTCACCAAGGTAAAAATTAATAATGCTTGCTTTGTGTCTAAAAGTCCTATTTCACTTCAATGCCTCTGCCATGCGTATTTATTTTCCAGTTCTTAAGGTACCTAATTTGAAATGGTGAAACAACACAGATGGGTTATTTTATGTTCTTTCTCATCAGTAGTCTGGTGATCATCTGGAATAGCAGATGAAGCTCCATTGTATTGTAATGTGCATACAAATACAGGTGCCTGAACATAGCTATACACTTTACTTGTTTTAACAATCCCTACTGCTTTAATGGCCATCCACCCAGTTTAATGGCCATCCAGCCAGATAAGGCAGAAAGAAATTAAAGTCACTGAGATTTTTTAAGAAAAGATGATTAAAGTTCCCACATCCTAATATTGTTGCCAACAGTTGGTGATTAATAACATTTTTTCTGCTTGAGTTAAAATGTAGTCCACCCATTTCTGAGGTGCCATAAAACAATGGCAGCATAACCCAAGGCCTGTCTCCATTGTGTCAGATCCAAGTCATTGCAGAATGGTATTGTTCTGATCTGTACTTGCGCCATCTGTTATCATTTAAGTGATTAATGATGTCGGGATTTGTTGCCCTTTCTCTTCACCCATCACCAATTAGTACGGAAAAATATCCACCAGTCCCAAGCACTGAAACAGGAATTGAGTGGAGCTGCTTTTGGGATTCTAACTGGGCATCCCTAATTTATGTTTTTCCTTGCTAGATTGCATCCCACTTTTTTTTTCAGGAGCTCCAGACAATGTTTTCTTGGCTCTTATTTTAATTCTCAATAGCCTCTAGAATTATGTGAGATTGATAATTGGTAGACAACAACCTAGATTTCCCCAGTCCTAATCCAGCAGTTAAATTATTACACTACCAGGTCTGCTCCACCTCTCACGTTCAGTTCGGGCATCTCCCAAGTTAAAAAAAAAAAGTGAAAGTTGTCCTCAACTTACAATTGTTTCTTTAGTGACTGTTCAAAGTTACAATGACACTGAAAAAGTAACTTATGGCCATTTTTCACACTTATGACCATTGTAGTATCCCCATGGTCAAATGATCAAAATTCAGATGCTTGGCAACTGGTTTATATTTATGATGGTTGCTGTGTCCCAGGGTTACGTGATCACTTTTTCTGACCTTCTGACAAGCAAAGTCAATGGGGGAGCCGGATTCACTTAACAAGCATGTTACTAACATAACAACTGCAGTGATTCACTTGTGGCAAGAAAATGTAAAATGGGCAAAACTCACTTAACAAATGTCTGACTTAGCAACAGAAATGTTGGGCTCAGTTGCAGTCGAAAGACGAGCACCATCTGTACTGTAAAGAAACTAGCCCAGAGAGGAAGGATAACACATTTAGAGCTCTCGGTTGCAATTAAGAAACAGAAGAATAATAAAACACCCGGGCCAGATGGTATACCTGCAGAAATGTATAAAATTGCACAAGACTCTTTAAGCCCAATGCTGTTGGACTTATTTAACGAGGTTTTAACCCAAGCTAAAATACCAACTTCATGGGAAGAAGCCTTCCTCACGTTGATTCCTAAAGAAAACACAAACCTGACACAAATTAAGAACTATAGACCCATTTCTCTTTTGAATTCAGATTATAAGATTTTCATGGCAATAATGGCACAAAGATTGGAAAGGTTCTTAGTGGATTTTATACATATTGATCAAAACGGCTTTCTATCTAAAAGATATATAAGAAACAATATTAGGACTGTTTTGGACATATTGGAATATTATGAAGTACATAATGAAAAGCAAATGTGTTTAATTTTTCTTGATGCCCAAAAAGCATTCGACAATGTAAAATGGGATTTTATGTTTAATCAATTATTGTATATGGACTTTGGGGAAAATTTCTTAAATATGTTTAAATCAGTTTACTCTAAGCAGGTGGCCAAAGTAATAATCAATGGAGAACTGACTGAGAGTTTCCAAATGCAAAAAGGCACAAGGCAAGGCTGCCCACTATCACCATTGTTATTTATATTATCTCTTGAAGTATTAACTAGAGCAATCCGGCAAGATGAACAGATCCAAGGTCTAGAAATCAAGAAAGAGACATTTAAAATACAAACCTTTGCAGATGATTTAGTTTTTATAATTGAAGAACCACTACAATCAGGGATTAGACTGATGGAAACATTGAATAGATACGGGGAAATAGCAGGTTTAAAAATAAATAAAGAAAAAACTAAAATGCTTGTCAAAAATATGACTAAAATACAGAAAAATGAATTGGTTGACAGAATTGGTGTTCAAATCACAAATAAAATTAGATATTTAGGGATACAACTGACTGCCAAATGTGCTACGCTTAAAAGGGATAACTACGATAAATTAATAGAACAGATTCAAAAAGACTTTGATATTTGGACTAACCTACAGCTCTCTTTTATGAGCAGAATTGCGGTGATTAAAATGAATGTGTTGCCAAAAATCTTATTTTTGTTCCAATGTATACCTATAAAATTAGACAAGAAATTTTTTCAAAATTTGAACAAAATGATGTGTAAATTCATCTGGCAAGGAAAAAGAGCAAGGATTAAATTAAAATTACTACAGGACTCAAAGGAAAGGGGGGGATTTGGTCTTCCAGACTTGGAGAAATATTACCAGGAAGGAGGCCAATCTTGTCCTGATTGTGGTAGCAACTAGATCTTGTAAAGTATTATAACTGAAATTAACTAGCTGTTGGCAATCTAATTTCTAATTTTATGTAGAGGAAGATGAAAGTGTTTAAAATTGGTCAGTAAGAAAAAAAAAAACCTGGTTCCATATCCCTTTATATGTTTTGAACACTGAAATGACGAAAATTGGCTGCTGCATCTAATTCTGATGATACATTTCAGAAAACTTACAATGGAATACAGGTTGTCCTCATTCAGTGACTGCTTCAATCTGTGCTCATTTGCAATTACAATAGTGATGAAAAAGTAACTTTGTGACCAATGTCACATTTACAACCTTTGCACTGTCTCCTCTCAGCCATATGTTTGCAATTGCTGTCAGTTAGCATGCATTATCCTGTGCCTGACCCATTTTTCTCCTTCCCGCTGTTTTTTTTTTCCTCAGCAGCATTTCCCTAAAAGGTGTTTTAATCCAAGCTCAACTCTGTGACCTTAATTCCTCTACTAGAACTTCTTGCTGGTTCTTGCTGCTGCCTGACACTGACAAGACCCTAATCAGTTTTACATTAAAGGCTTTTGTTTTCTTCCTAAATAGCTGGGAGCCATAAATGAGCTAGCACATTCTTTTGATTTGTGTTCCCCACTGTCTTCTTGCTTACTCTCTTGTAATCCCTACCTCTTCAATTAATGTGAATACAAACATTAATTCCCTTGTTGAAAATTATCCTAGCAACAGGGTGAGCATTCCCAAGACTGGGGTAGTAGGGAAAAAGCATTATAAGATTTGCTCTTATACCTGGCTTCCTCAAGTTTTGGAAATCTTCCCCACTGTTTGGGCTCATCCCCGCCCATTGGGGCTGTGTCTTTCTGATGCTGTAAAGCAAAAGAAAGCTGAAGTAAAATCCTAGGTACACTAGCAGTCCTGTGATTTTTCACTTTATGTTCATTTAATGACTAAATTGCTGGTTTCAATTGAAATTGTTAAATGAGGACTACATGCAGTGCAACTATGAACAACTATAATGTTATGGGAAAATTTAGTGATGTCCAGGCATGATTCTGCTGTGTGAAAATGTAAATGGGAGATGGCTCCAGTCAACTTGCCAGTATTATTTATATCTACTAGGTTGACTTCTAAATCATCATTTGACCTTCCTCTAGCCCATGGATGTCAAACTCGACTATGTCATGTGACATATCATAACATATCACAATAATTTTTTTGCCTTTGCAGAGCCACAGTGGGTTTGTGCATGATGCATCCAGCCCGCAGGCCGTCAATTTGACAT